TAATTTTGTTTCAAAATTATTCCAAGGAAAAGCTTCATTAGAGAACATTTTAAAGGTATCTTACTCAATAATGTCATAGTACTATAATCAAAATTATTGTGTTTATCTGTTTTCAATAATATGTAAAGAAAATGAATTGATGCCTGCAGTTGAAGGTCATGCTAATTTAGTGGATGTGAGAAGTCCGGATGATGAGGATGATGGTGCTCCTCCAATTGAAAACGTGTATGCGAACTCTGAACCTGTTTATGGAAATACAAACTTGGAAAATCAGGAATACAGACCGATTGAGTTAGCAAGGCTGCATAATTACGTGAAGAAACAAAACAGCAGCCTAAAAAACGGATTTGAAAAGGAATTTGAGGTATGTTTTTACTTTTTTCTATTGTATTCGTTCTTAATCATCGATCGTAATGATTAGAATAAAGATGATGTTTTTAGTTTCATTTATTTTTATGGTATATTTTATTTAAAATTTCACAACAAACATACAAATAGAAGCAATACAAAGGTTTAAAAGAATTGCCAAATGTGACATTGTAGCATGAATTAAATTGCGTTATATTGACAAGCTAAAAAAATATCACATTAAAAATTCCGATAATTAGAAGGTAAAAAGGCACTGGAATATAAAACATTCATAAATAATAAACATAAAAATCTGATAATTATTATTTACCGGTAAATTATTATTATTATTGATAATCATTGTTAATTCAGTTATTAAGTTCATAAAAAACAGTGGCTTAGTGGTTCTGGTGTTAGTATCATCTTCATCTTATGTCACTCATAATTTGTAGGGAGGTACACATGATCTAATCTTTTGGTAAGACATAAAACGTTTCTTCCTGATTAAATAAAATGAAATACAGAATTAAAAAAAATATAAATGTTTTACTGTATTTTGTCATAATATTTTTCTGCGGTTAGATTAAATGTGATAATTTCTTCATAACAGGACATTGGCAACAAGCCCCTGTATCCCTGGACCGCTGCAAAACATGCCAAGAATAGAACTAAAAACAGATATGCAAATGTTATTCCATGTGAGTATCAATACAATAACATTAATAGCAATTAACATTAGCCCTCAGTGTTCATATTAGTATCGTGTTTCCAAAACATTAATAAGTCTGTCAATAACTGTGTTGTTTCCTTTACATTATTGTTTTATTATTTAAAGAGCTCTCCACTTGGTCTTGGCACACAAATTACAATAATATTTGTAAATATTTAGTACTTCTCTAATTTTTAGACTAATTTACTTGTTTCCACATTGGTGTTTGGGACTATACCACTGAACGTGTTTGTTTATGCCCGGGTATCCCCAGGTATTCTCATTTTGGCCAATATTATAGTATTACTTTGCATAATATTTTCAGACAGATGAACCATTATGTGCTTTTACTGTTACGAGAAAGCGCCGTTTATCCAAATCATCACCAGACACTACAATGCTTACCATCCATGATGACAGTAGACTATACCACACTTGAAATAATGAATAATTATTTATTTCACAATATTTATAGGATAGCCCTTACAGCACAAAGGTGACTTGAAGAGGCCCTCTATGGACAGTAAAGTACACTTCTACAAAAAGAAATACATTACAAGCAAGATAATTTAATACAGTAATTGAAAAAAAAAAAACCCCAAAAAAACCAGAAAACCATGGCCACAGGAAATCAACAGAAATTATTGACTAAGTTTTAGTGAGGATTTACTAGTTTTTAAAGAAGAAAAGAGTAGAATAATGAATAAATTTAATTATTAAATTAATTCTTTTATTACCCACATGTGGTTTATTTCTAATTGTACATTGTAAAATAACATACGCATCATTCCTTTTATTATTTTAATATTCAACGTAGGTGTGACTACTTCGTCAAAGCCCATTAAGCCAATTCGTAGTTTGAATTGCGTATGCTCGTATGAAGATCAATCGACATTGACAACAAACATTAACGCATCATATATTTATGTCGATTGACCTTGAATACTGGTATGCGCAGTTCAAACTACAAATTGGCTTATTTTCAATTAGATCACAGTATCTTAAAAATCTCCTTATAATTGGTATTTTGTTAGATGACAATTCACGTGTAGTACTTGATATGTGGAATAACATTCCTGAGTCAGACTATATAAATGCTTCGTATTTAGATGTAAGTATTGTTTTTTTTTTATACGTTTTTCAAGGCAAAATATTGTCTCAGAATGTATGTATGTATATATATATATATATATATATATATATATATATATATAT